AATAATAAATATTGTAATAATATCAAATCATTGATTGTATTTCATAAATAATTTAATGAAAAAATAAACTAATTACATAATACATGTACATTGATTCTAAAAAAAAGCTACGGTCATTAATAGAACATATAAACGACTTTCCTGTATGTAACATGATAGCTGGTTATAATCGAAATGGAATAGCCTTCTTGCATCTTTTACTGTAGATGTAATGTTCTCAACCTGGGGTACGCGTACCCCTAGGAAGGGGTACATGACATGATGTCAAGGGGTACGCGAAAAAAATGTAATAATGGTGGAAAAAGTGAAATTTAATGTAACTGAAATAGTTTGCTAATATTTACTAATAATAATAAAAACCTAACTATTCACAAGCGCTGTGTTGGTTGATAGGGCCTTTTCTACGTGCACGTTCATCAAAAATAAGTATCGTAATAAACTGTCTGTAAGTTCAGACTTACGGGTGTATTTGTCATGTGTGGAGCCAGATTTAAAAAAATTAAGTTCAAGCAAACAAGCTCAAGGTTCACATTAAATAACATTGTTAAGTTGCTATTTTTATTTTTATATATATTGTATGGCGCAAGCTAATAATAAATATTTCCAAATTTTCCTTTAAAATTAATATTATTATTATTTTTCATTATTTATATTCCAAATTGATATTTGGGGGTACGTGAATGAAAAAAGGTTGAGAACCGCTGCTGTAGACTGTTACCTACGTTAATTTAAAATTAAAATTGGAATACGACTTGCAGGTTATTAAATTAAATAATCTTAAATAATAATCTTTAAATAGAAAATAGAAATTTATAACATTTTTGGACTATACAAAATGCTATTGTATTCACATATATCATTTATTTACTTATTGAGATGAACACAAAAATTGTATAATTGTAAAATATCATTGCTAACTTGCATCGTAGTTAATTTAAATCACTAATATAAATATACATTTTTGTATTTATTGAACTATATTATTTTTGAATAACAAAACAATATGTAGGTATATATGCTAATTTTAATAGTTTAAACTAAATATACAGTATTACTATTTTCTATGTTCGTTATGTTTATCCAATCAGATGTGGGTGTTGCGACTTTCGCTGTCATTGTTAGAGTTATTATTAATATGCTGCTATATAGGTATCTACTAAATTACCATATTCTATTTTAAAACTCACGCACATTTATTTATATTTATTATCCTGTAAATGGCAAATCGATATAATAATTTGATAATTCTATATAAGTTTATAAGTAAACTAGCTGAATTACCCGGCGTTACCTGGAAACAAATTCGTGACAAATTAGATAACGCCATGTATTACCATTTACCGTCTTAAATTCATAATTATCGAAAATATACATAATAACCTAATATCTATATATTTATTTTTATCGATAAACTTCTCGGAACAATTTTATTCTCGGAATCATTATTCTTATCTTCACGATATTCTTATCTACACGACGACGACGACGAACAAAAAGGATAGGTTGCAGGTAGCTGGAGACCCACGGGCCGCCGTGCCGNACAATACGTATTGGCGGTGAATAATTATAATTGTTAATTACTCCACTAAAACGCAACATTTTTGAAAATCCCTCCTTATTGCACGGTGAAAATATGAGAAGAACCTATATGCCAAATTTCAAGTCCATACGTTACGTAGTTTTTGAGATACAGCGATCAGTCAGTCAGTGGTTTTGGATTTTATATGGATAGATATTATTATGTTAGTATAACTATCTATTTAGGTAGTTTGAAATTTTCGCTAACATTAAAACAAATTTATTTTTATATTTTGAGCGGAACGAGGGATTATAATCTATTTTATATTATATAGTTTTAGAATTATATGAACGTATTTAAATTTTTTGTTTCCTACGAAAACATAGTTAACGTATTTAACTAAATACATAGACGATATATAGCTAATAGGTAGGTGAGTGCGAGTACTGCAGATAATACGCACACTGTAAACTGTGGATTCGAATTTCTCAGATCCATGCTCTGAAAATTGCAAACAAATAAATACATATAATATAAATAATAACAACACGAAAAAGTTTTGATGAACATAACAAGTGTTTTTAATTTTGAACTCTTCTCAGATTTTTTTCAAATTTGATAGTTGCAGCATTTAAATTCAAATTGACTCATCCGAATAACATTATATTATACCGTTGCTCACTTAAAATGTGGATTTGAATGCTGGAAATTTTTCAAGGTGTCTGTGTCCAAATAGACGTACAGTAAAATTTTATTGAACACGAAGTAGAATATTACCGGTTTTATACCAGGATAGTAATCGTCCGAATCGCTATTGCAAGTTACTAAATTGTTTTACGCTTGAAAATGTGGACATATTTTTTAGTAATAATTCTAGTGCTAACTTTAGTGAAGATTATTCGAGCGACTTGAAAACGGTTCTATTTTATCAACCTAGTTAGACTTGCTAGTTGCATTAATTTGTCTTCTAAACCAATATAGACACCATTACTGCAGTCATTAGTAAAATCGTGAGTAAGTAAAATACGTTATTAATTAATTATCACTGTTATTTAGTGTTTGATGATCGATTCTGTCTATGATGCAACTTGTAAATTCAGTCACATCATCTTCTGAAAGTTCACTTAAGAGTAAATTGCTATCTCAATCCATTCTATTGTCCAAATTAATTTTTTCTTTCAGTTTCCTTTTTTTGGAATCAATTGATTCTTCAGTGGTTGTGGAAGTGCAGTTTTTGGATTCTGGACCATCCTACTATTTTTTTACTATTTTTTACTATTTTTATTCGTGTTTCAAGAAAATATATATACAAAAATCCAAAACAGAATAAACTATATACTAGTAAACTTTACTTGACTGTATATAGACAGTCACTAAACGCAATTTAATAGGTACTCGATTTAGCAATAATTTGCTTTAGTGATTCAGCTGAGTTCTATCCTAGTGTAAACCCGACTTAAGATTTTGTTTTACTCCACTAGAAAATAAATCGTAAATAATTCAATTAATAGATTTTGTAACAAAATATTATATTTTTTAGGGAATAGTCTCACTATGGGAAGAGGGACGACTGGAGAAAGTCTAGGTTAAGAGTGTGGTGTATTTAATCATGGTATTTTTTAAGAGAAGGGTAATGTACACACAGTGGATATTCACTGAAAAATTCCCTGTCATATGACTGGTTTTTTTAAACAATATAATATTATATTATAAGTTACCTACCTCAATAGTTAAGTCTTTATTTGTATTGCCTATACTTTCCAGTTAACGTTTACGGCCCACGGGCAATTTATGAAAAACAAAGATCTGTGTAATTTGATTTTACAACAAAATAATACGTTTAAAAACTTTCACCGCTTCAAAGTCATGTGTAGTATATAGTAAGCAATTTCGGAAAGTGTTTGAACTTAAAACGTAAACCCGTGAATACGGTCACGGTCGTTCACGCGATTTGCGTGTATTTTGAATAATTTACACTTATAGTTGCATGTAATTATATTTAAATATAAGAAACTAAAAGCCAGTGCTACTTGGAATATTATATACACAACAAATAAATATTTACTTACTATAGGTACAATAATTCGTATTCCAACTATTAAACATTTAATGTTCACCTGAAAATGTCTTCACGAATAAATATTAATATATTATATGTATGATAAATATACGCCTAAATCTCAAATAATAATTTGTCTTTTATAATTTATATTTCTATCGTGCGACCCCGACACCCGACAAAAAATACACACTAGTTGATATTTTAAATTCTGAGCGAAACGAGGGATCTATTGGCTTTTTTACACATATAGATAATATTTTTAATATGTTATAATTGTCTTCAATATTTAACTTAAATAAAGTAAATTATATTTTATTCTACCTATAAGTATAAAATATTGTGAATTATACATTTGTAATATTTTATATTCTGAGTGCACCGACTAAGAATGCCCGCCCGTAGTATCATTCGTATATACTTACTTACCTTTCGAACTTCTCACCTTTAATAGTGGCTTATTTATCACGGTTAGAAGTATAAGTATGTCCGACTATTTTCATACATCTTTCATAAATTTTATATACAAATAGCCAGACATTTTCCATGCATGTTATCCTTTAAACAACCAAAACGTCTAGAACCAGGATTTATCAAAGGCCCCCTCCATCTAAACATAATAAATTATTTCATCGCAATATTTTCATAATACCATAGTGAAACACCAACTATTTACAATCATATTCCTAGTTTGTATTTTTAAGATATATTTTAAATCTTTGAAATTATAATTTATTAAATTGTAAACAAAAATCAAAATTTGTCCACTTCCTTAGTTGCATCGCTGCCCTTAAATCATTATTTTGATTATATATTTCAATCGTGTGAGGTGTGTCATATACATATGTATTTTGAACATTACCTTACGCCAGACATAGGTAGTATTCCAAATATAGTATTCAGAATACGGTATTCTGAATATTTTTAGAAAGTTTTAAAATTTTAAAATTTTATTCCTTTAAAAAAAATTACCTTTTGTCACTCATTTTAGAATATTTTGCTTCCTGTAGGAAAATTGTGAAATAATTGCATATAATAATGGTGTTATTTGACGGCGAAAATCGTTATCAAACGAAATTTGTTCAATTGGAATAAAAAATTTCCAATTATTTAAATTATAGTACCACAAAACATTTAAATTCCTTAAATGATACACCAACTATAAAAAAACATTCATTACATTTTTCTACCAGCAATTTTTCTCCGATTTACAATGATAGCACTTTTACTGAAAGAAAATCTGACTGGGAAAATACATTACAGTGGTCGTTTTTCGATTTTCTCAAGAGTTTTCCCAGAAAATGTGAAAAATCGGGAAAAACATGGGAAAACAGGGAAAAACGTAGGTAAAACGGGAAAATGTAATCAATATTAAACAAATAATATTAAAGAAAATATATATTACTTATTTAATTATTTTACCACAATTTGACATGTATATATATATATTGTTGAAAAAGCATCACTACCAACTGAACTCCGCTCAGAATCATTAATTTAACATTTATTGTAGCTTACAAATATACATTAAATTCCCTTTTGTATCCTACTTTCCTAATTTCTCACCTACAACAGTGACTGCACCTGTCTCCATTATCCTAGGACATCTTATTTTAGATAGTATTTCAAAAATATTCGGATTACGTTTGGTAAAGTATTTGGAATATTTTGGAAATACTATTATTGTCAAGTATGCGAATATATATTCTGAATAATTTTTTGGTATGTATTCGAATATGTATTCTTAATAGTTTTTTAAAGTATTTGCCCATGTCTGGCTTACGTATCTTAATATATTAATAACTAATAAACTATATTAGCAGGTTTCAAATTAGACAATAATAATTTTCCGAATTTAGCGAAATCATTAGTTGTTCCCTATAATAGAAGCCTGTAACGCTTGATCAAGATCGGCTATTATATCATCTTCGGATTCTAGTCCTACAGACAATCGTATCAAATTGTCCGTGATATTTAAAGCCAACCGCTCTTCTAACGGAACATCAGCGTGTGACATCAGTGCTCTGTAAAATTAGGCAAGTATAGACGATTAAAAATAAAATTATCTGGTATTTAGATATATAAAATTAATTTAAGCTAATTATGAGCACTTTCGATGTTCTCGATTATGCTCTCTGTGGGGGATCATAATAATACCATGGTACCTCTTACCTTACTTGTCGTAAGGGCTAAAAAAATGGGGTTGACAGCCGGTGTGATATTCTGTCAAACAGTATAAGGAGTTCTAAGCAAGACTTTGATAGATATTGTCTCATCTAGGATGTGCGAAGGGATAACTTTGATAGAAGAAAATCTTGAATAATTTAACAATAGATTGTCACTTGAAGGAAAGGGTGTAAGGATAAGTAGACGTCAAATAGACTATGAGTTTGGAGGCGATATTGAGAGTTTAAGTACCTATTGTTTGTACATATTTGTACCTTCTTTATACCTATTTGTACCTTCTTTAGGTTCTTTATAGTTCGAATGATTGATACCTACTAACACTTCGGTAGTACCTATCATTAATTTAAACCCGATTTAATCACTAAAACAAAATTAATAAGGTAAGTTGATATAAATATTATACTGTGGTTGTACTTTGACATTCGACAATCTGTATCTAATTTTTTTTTTTATAGTATAATATTTCAAATAATTTTACAATGTTTTTTTTTTATAATATACTACTCAAAGACCATAATAATAATATACTCACGGGTGATAGGCCAAACTTTCAGTCCCACCGAGACTCACGGCTACACAAAACACTCGCAAAGCCTTCAAAAATCTGATTGCTTCCAGTAAGCCACCTTTTATGTAAAACGACAACATGCCGCCAAAACCACTACACTGGCGTACAGCCATCCTGTGTTGAGGGTGTGACGGTAGACCGGGATGCAGAACTTTTTCTACGAGACGGTGTTGCTCCAAGAATCGGGCAACGGCCAATCCATTTTTCATGTGCTCCTTCATGCGCAAATGCAATGTTTTCAGACCGCGGTTAACCAAGTAACAGTCAAAAGGTGACGAACCAATACCGTACGCTTAAAACGACAAAACAGAGAATATAAGGAGAATATTATTTGTAGGTTTTTTAAACATTAAAATCCGGGTCCTATAAATAAATAAAACAATAAAATGAAAATAATTCATTCCATAATGATGGTTAAAATACAAATTTTAGATTCTGAGCGGAGCGATTTTCAAAACACGTATAACCGAACTTCATTCAGAATCGCTTTTGTTAACAATGATTAATCATTGCGTAAAGATATACATTAAATTTCCCCTCTACCTTTTAAATTTATCACCGACAACAGTGACCCACCCATCGTGAATAGTATGTTCATATTTTTAAAAAATTAAAGTAGATAATATTTGAAAGGGCCCTACGGGTGTTTTTTTCCATTATTATAAATACATTCCTTAAGTTAAATTCTTTCTTCTAGAAGTTCAACATTTTCAAATGACTAACTTTTAAAAGATTAAAAATACATTTTAATACCACTATGAACAATTATTATTTATGAAACACTTACAGCACTGAATGTACGCCAGACGATCATGTAGTTCGGTATCGTTTATGACCAAAGCGCCCATTATGACATCGGAATGACCGTTCAAGTACTTGGTCAACGAGTAGAGCACAACATCTACACCCAAATCAAGAGGTTTCTGTATGTATAATAATATATAAATTATTAAATAGATAAATATTCTTTAAAAAAGATGTTACATAGTTTAATATTATTCATACAATTATTTGATATAGACCAGCGGTTTCTAATTTATTTTTTCTTCCGTATCTCTAATCTTAATATTTTGCCAACAAATTATATACCCTTCACAATATAATAACTTTAAAACTTTTTTTACTAACTACTCTTAAAATATTTAAATAAAAAAACGGACATACTTCGTACGATAGAGGGGCCACTGTAGTAGGTTAGAAGTTGGAAAGGTAGAAGGAAAACCAAACAAATTCAATATTTGTCAGTCATTACCCAATTTTGTTTTCACGTACCTCTTAGGTATGCTTACCCTAGGTTGGGAACCGCTGATATAGACGAATTGCACGAAAGGTCAAATCAGCTTTATTTATTTAAAAATTATTATAATAAGATTTGTCAAACTATATACCAACACAAAATAATCAAAATAATGTGTATTAAAATCTTAAGTTTACAACTATAAAATGTTAACTTTGAATAAATTACTTGGAAATAGGGAGTTTGAAATGTGTTGTCGATGACTACAACAATATCGTTTCGTATGTTATGAGCAATTTTTGAAATGGTTTCCAAGTTTGAAATTCTCATTAACGGATTTGTAGGACTTTCCAACCATATTAACTATTTAAAATTGAAAATATGTTCAGAATTATTCACTAAGCGTACTTACTCGATATTTTTGGTTAAATTTTGCATTTAACATTTTGCAATTTTGTAGTTAAACCCATTTTTTTTTTAATTCTTCGATTTTTCACAACACTTAAGGAGTATTCTGTGGTGACACCAAACTCTGGTTATTTAAATAAGAACCTATTTACTAAAATTTCATAAATATATGGTGTATTAATTTAAATAAATTTTAGATGTTCAAATTTTTTATTTCCGTTCACTCATTGACAATAGATATTTCACTTTTAAGTTAAAATTTATTTTATCGAATATTCCATCTATTTATGGAATTTTTAATATAGATTCTCATTTGAAAAACTAAAGTTGGTATCGCCACTGGATACTCTTTAAGTATTATGAAAAATCTAAGTATTCAGATACATCGGGTTTTATTACACTTTCAATTTCAAAAATTAGAAATTCAATATAATATGCGAAATGTGACCAACAAAATTGGGTGAGTGGGTGAGTACGTTTAGTGAATTATCTTGTCGTTGTATGAAAAACACAATTTAAAAAAATTTGAAATTACCGGTAACGGTTTTAATTTAGCCTTTAATTTAACTGTATTATTTTACTTTAGTTTCAGGCAAAATCATTTTTTCGACGATTTGCTCATTTGTAAAGTCGGTCATAGTCAACTTCACTCCAAATTGGTTCACAAAGTTTTTGAATATATTAGCCGTACCACCGTACACATCATCGCCGCACAATATGTGATCCCCGGTTTTCAACAAATACATCAAGGCCGTAGTAGCACCCAAACCGGACGAAAAAGTCAAACAGTGTTTCCCACCGTCTAGTGAAGCTACACAATCCTGTAATACTTTTTTTATTGGATTTCCGCACAAACTGTACTTAAATCCCTACGAAAAAATATATATGACTACATTACTAATTATTTGTATATCTAATATATTTACTATGCTAATATAGTAAATCACGTGAAAACTTCACAAGTGAAGTAGTATCTATAATACGAATTTTTGTTGAGATTATTAGAAAAGAAATCTTACAGCATGTTCGTTCGGAGCCAATTGTTTGAAAGTGGTACTTAATGAAATGGGAGGAACGACATCTTTAAACGGAGACTGTTGGTCTGCAGGACTTTGGCCCGCATGAACGACTTTAGTTGCAAAATTAATTTTTACTTCTTGCTGCAGTTTACACGAATCATTCAAATCTTCCATCATCCTCTTAAACTAAAACAATAATATTATTATATTTTTAATACAAATAAATTATCTGTACAATAATTTATACATTATATTTAAATATCTTGATACTAATTAAATAACTAAATTAAAACAGTTTTCCTGTCAAACCAATGAATTTCAATGAATCGATTTATATTGGTTACAAAATGTTTTATGAATTGTCATAATTGAACTTAAAAAATGTAGATAAAATTATATATTTCCAAAATTAATAACTTTGAAAATCAAAAGTATGCACTTATTTAAGGTATATGGAGTAGTGGTAAAAAATTAAAAATGGTTTTAAAATAAAGCTTAAACGATTCCATAATGATTAAAAAAAAAAAAAAAAACAGAAATCAAATTCAATTAATATTCTCAGAAATAATTGTTGGTTCATGATAAAAAAATCACCCTGTATAATATGTGATGTGAGCAGTTGTGAACAAATAATTCTGATGGATCTAATTCGCGTGATTTAGCTTGACGTACCTATTTCTACGACCTGGGTGTTTTAATTTTTGCAAAAGTTATTATTTTTATATAGGGCCTCACAAAGCGGGATCAATAACACCATTTTTTTTAGCCTAATGTGTCAGCTTATGCTTATTGTTTTTAGGTATTATTCTTTATTATACGAGTATTTGATTTGAGATCGAGTATTATCTTTCCCATTTCTCACCTAAGACATTGGCTGCACCCGTCCTCGTTATCCCAGGACAGCTTTTTAAATTAAGGTGTCGACACTTAGATATGATTGTATTATTTAAAATTACTTATGACGGAATGTAAAAAGTTAGAGGAAAAGATGTGGTCAAATATTCAAAAATCCTAAAAATCACTAGATATCAAGAGTCGATGAAGAGCTAACGACAAGTTTAAAATAACAATGCAAATAAATAAAAAATAAAAAACAAGAAATGTAAGGAAAAAATATATAATGTTCTGTTGTACACGTAGGATGAACGGACGAAATAAGTACGATCCCCGACCTCTAGTGACACACTTTATCGGCACCTACCCGTGAACATGAGCGTTGGTGTTCAGTATAACAGATAGCGCTTTCGGTAGACGTCCTATAGAGTATGCGCGTAATAGATGCCAGACTTCCAATACCGCTGTGAACAGTCTCAAAATTATAGACGCCTTGGTATACGTGTCATTCAAATAGCATCCTAAGTGTGAAAGTTCGACGATGGACTGTGCGCTAGAGGACTTCGGATCAGATCGAAGATCATTCGGAAATGGTAAAACAACGTGATGATGTTATTAATTCGTTGATTTAACAGCGACGTTTAACCACTGAAAAACGCCCGTTCGTCGCTCCACTTATTATGATGGATGCCTGACAACGGGCCAAAACCTAACCGATTCCTGGTTTCAGTTCTGAACCCTCATAAGCAGGGTCTACTGAGGTCCATCGTCGGCACCCAATCGGAGTCACTCGGAACCGTCGCCGGTTAGTCCGGTTTCGGGAGCCACGTGTGTACGTCTGATGGGTACGGGCCGACGAAACATAAGAATCGAGCGCTTCGGAAAATCTTCCAGAGTCCCAGACTTACTCTAGAAGCTATCCGGCGAAGCGCACATGTAATACTTGAAAAATATATACTTACTCGTTAACAAGTAATATTATATGTTGCATGAAAAATAGCTTGCAAAATCCGCGAATATCAACTCCTATAGAATATATATTTTATTATATTCAGTTAGTATTATTTTAATAGTTATACATACACTATGAACCAGACTGATAAGTTTTTGAACCGAACTAATTTAAGTTAGGTACCTACCTACCGAGTCACCGACGCTTGCTGCTAGAGGTACACAATCAATTATCGCTTGATTTTCCCTTGACCCTTGAACCTTTTTTAATTAATTATAATAGGTAGGTATTTGTGTAAATTATACTAAAAACGTCCCACCGGAGGGATAGGGTTGTCGAGGCCGGTTATTATTGTATAACTGCAGTTTAATTCGATCAGATAATCTAGTTTCGTTTTTTCATTCAGTAGAAAATAAAGAAATGATATTCTAGAATAGATATCAAAAAAAAATTTAGGCAAATTCTAGAGGTACCTATTCAGTCTGACAAGAAATCGCAATGTTTTGAATTTCCTAATACCTGTAGAGTAGGTTTCTATAATAGGTAATTTATTATTTACAAATTAAGGTCCCCACTATGATTCACTTATTAGTCGATGGTCGATGATCTTTGATCACCCAAAGGGATACAAAAATGCTAAATGTTATATGGTATACATGGTATACTCATAGAAGATCGACATTAGAGTTGACTAAACAGAGATAATAATATACTTGTAAAATAAATATTATATTGTAGATGTATTTTAATATAATATTTAATATACCTACAACTCGTATAGTGCACAAAATAGATTTATCTATTCTATTCTCTGATTAGATTGTACGTGGGTTAGTCAGCCGTAAATGATAAGGATCTTATAACTAGTATTCTTATTGTATTGGACACACTGTTGTCTTCAACTAGTTACTACTATATTACAGTTGGTACCACTAGTACAGTTGTGTTCAGCATCATAGATATGTATATCAATACTATAATACTATTACAAGTCTGCGACTACGACGTCATTTCTACTTGATAATACCATAGTCAAAACATACTAATTTTTAAAAACTCTAATTAATTAATTTTATTATTGTCAATTTTAACACTTGATGAAATTATATTATACTGATAATTTACGGTTCTTTTTAGAGTTAAAGAAGTCAGTTGTGCTTCTGTTAACTAATTAGTAGTTTATTCGTAAATACTACAAAAAAAAAGGTTTGTTTTATTTTATATTATTTGTGTTCAGTGATCGATCTGGAAAAAAGTAGTATATTAAACATTAAATAACTTTAGGTAAAGCAATATCATAGAATGTAATATAATATAGACAAGGTAGAATACTAGGTAATTGATAAAAATAAATACTCCTAAGGTCATTTCTTCCACTGTTCTTTAAATTTGTTTTTGATGTTATATTTATTATTGTTAATATTTGATGAATTTCACAAACAAAACAAATATTATTTACTTACTCACCGGTAAATAATATTTGCTTATTATCTAAAGCCTTAATTACATTGGACGAATTTACAAGTTATTGTTGACAAGTTTACTTACTAGTGCTTAACTTGTTCAATCTATCAATCTAATGGACTCTTGTGACAATTTGTTTTTATATTTACCTAATTAAAGTGTTATTTTTTCCAGAATATCAGTTTTATTTACTATGTGCATTCAACGAGATAAAGATGACCCGGGAGACATAGTATTTCCGTATCCACTACTTGAGTTTATTGATTTAACAGAACTCACTGAAGATGAAGTCCTCAATATAAACTTGAATGATAGAAACGAAGCAAATTGGAACCCTTATAATCCATTACCATCTAGTGATGAAGATGAGCCGGTGATTATTTAAAACTTAATATTTATTTTTTTGTACCTATTGTAATAACCTGATATTAAATATCCTGAATTATATATAAAAAAAATGTATTACTAAGTACTTCACACATTAAATGAAAATTATTTTCAAAATCTATTGAGTTATACTGATTAGTTTGACCAGTCAGAAAGCAGGAAGCACCAACAAATTAGTAGCTCTAAAAATATAACTATATATATTTTCACATCTGCCTGTCTGTCACATTATTAATTTATATGATTACTAATAATTTTATATTAAATTCTAAATTAGTGTTTCTAAAAAATCGTACCAATTTTTCGTTTAAAAATGTAAGTTTCTAAATGTAGTAAAATTTATTTTTTTTCTTTAGAAAATAATGCAATTATTTTTGATTATCATTTAAAAACCATTAAAATACTCGAGTAAATGAAATAAATTATTTGGTTGTTACTTTGTATACAAAACTTGACATTAAACTCCATGCTGATAACATTATTAATACAACGTCAACCACACTGGGATTAAACTCTCGTGTAAAGATTCTTATAATACTCATGCTCTTAAATTATTGTATTACTCAATGGTACAATTAAAATTAGAATATGCAAATTTAAAATGATACACCGATTCTATAACTCAAAATCAGTATTTATCTGTTTTATGTTAACAATGTATTGAAAGAAGGTGTATAGATCTCATCCTTCTGATTACAATATTGTAAATAGTTTTTTTCTCAATTTCAATAATAATAAAAAAAAAAGAAGATATAAACTATTAAGTTTAAAATGTCTTCACAAATTGCTAACTAATATTATAGATACAAACCATTATTTTATCTACCAAATATATGTTATTTTCCCCATCCAATATATTAATGTCTATAGAAAATATAAATAACTTAGATTTCATTCTCCACTTAAAGATCTTTGTATATTTATTCAGTAACATTCTTTTTTCTTTTTTTATTATATATATATATATATATATATATATTCTCTCATCCTCTTTTTGTACTCATTTTTTAAATTGGAATTTATTCTGCAATAAACAATATTATCACTATTATTATCAAATAAAATATGTGTCATCTTTTATAAAATTAAATTCCATATTTTTTTAGTGAGATGTTAAACCTTAATATAAGGATTAATATACATTAATACATTTTAAATTATTAGATAAAATACAATTTTGAGAACTAAAATAGTTTTTATAATATACACAGTGCTATAACACCTAATTGGGACAATTTCTGTTAATCATAACTATTTAATATAATTAAATTATTTTTCTATTATTGCTTATATTTTTAGTGTAGGAGTAATTTAATAAACTCATTAGTCAAAAGAGACTATTTTTCAGATGATTTATTTGTTTCAACTGGTCTTAACTAATCAACTAGTTTATGTGGCATAAATCTGAAATCTCTAACCCCTTTGAAACAAAATAATTCATAAATTTATATATTATTATTAACTATATTAAATGAAAAAATGTCAATATGATATTTTTAAAAGCTAATTATTATATTTTATTTAATATTAATAAAATATAACTTCTATTTTGTTTAAATATTGCAATTTAGAATACTCTAAATATAAAAACTATTTACCTTGTAAATCCTTAAATTCGTGTAAATAAAACAATTTGAACTATATTCATACCAAACCTGAATTTAAAATATTTTAATATTACGATTTAGGCTATGCATTAATATTGGGTAATTTTCTGAGAAAACCTTAAGTGAATTCAATTTTTGTTTTTTAATCAGTGGAATTATTTAAGTTTTATTTACTCCCCTCTCCTTTAAGACTTGGATTGGAATACAGAATATTTATTTAGCAATTTTAATATGCATAACGCTAATATCAGATTCATTGTTTATGATTTATAATAGTTTAAAGTATAGACTGGAGAGGTAGGGAAAGGTTATAAATTGATACCACTTTAATAATCTCCAAGTCCAAACTTTAAGATTTTCATGATAAATGAATCACTGTATATATATTTAGATATAATATACACAGTTGGATTTGGTATTTAGACACATACAAACAAATGTTGGGTTTTCAAATTTCTTTTTATCAGTTTCCCGTATTATTTTTAGTATCAATGAATAATAAAATACCTGTAGTTCAGAAATGTAAAGTTCAAAAACTGAACATTAATAGGTGAATTTTAAACAACTCGACCCATCTCTATTGATAATTTATTATGGTTAATTATAAATTATAATACCTTTACTTTAATATTATTATTATATAATTCAGTAGTTATGTATGTATGTATAATGCATATAATACTTATTTATTGTTTTATTATAGTAAAAATCATTCTATTAAAAACAATTTTATTTCAGGAGGTTATAAATAATGATGATGATGATGATGATGATGATGATGAAGATGATGATGAAGATGATGATGATAATAACAGTGTTCGTAATACTGAACCAGATATTACAGATGATTCATCAAATGAAACAAATCAACTTCAAGATATAAACCCACCAATTATACCAAGATCCATTAGAGAAATTCATTTTGAAATCAATCCCATCCAGGATTTCCGACATTTTGAACTGAATGTACCTCAAATATTGATGTCAATGTCGAGAATATCGCATGAATTATTTGAAGATACACATCCACCTTCTCCCTAAATAATAGTCTATTCTATGTATGTATGTATGTATGTATGTATGTATGTATGTATGTATATATATTATTTTAATGAGTTAACTACAAATTTTAAAAAAAGGAACATTTATTATATTATACAAATTTAAACATTTTTACAAGGTTCATATGATTTTAATAATTGTGCTACATTAATTAAGTAAAATCCAATTAATGCTCCCAATGCTGACCCAATTTGTGTGATGCAACCGTAGTGGAAAAGTCTTCTGTTACCTTCATTACGCAGTATGGCTGCAATTGATAGTTTCACATAAGAAGCACATCCAAAGAATAAAACCCACATAAACACCTAAAATATTATAAAATAAGATTATACATTTTTAAATAGTTATTAAAATGTATGATAGAAATTGGAAAGAAAACTAGTTTCCTTGTAATTAATCTTAAATTAGCATAACTTTTACCTTTTGTTATTGGTGTTCGCTACACTTTTAATTATTTTACTATACCATATATTAATACTCCCAACTAATACAAAATTATTTTAATCATTTCTTAGGTAAAATTGTAGTTTAAAACAATTAATTATATAAATAAAATATTAGATTCCATTATATATTTTATAAGGTATTCAAATATCATTAGTTAGTATTAAGTAAAGTACTGTAAATTTGGTTTATATTAGTGATGCTAATCATTTTTAATTTTTTACAAACTATTATACAAAAAAAAAAAACAGTAAAACCTCGATTAATTGTCATTCTCATTGACTCATGAAGTTAATAATCGAAAATTTGATTAAACCAAGAAATTAACTTTTTAAATTTACTACTCATGCATACATATAGTTAACAATTATTGTTTTTCGAAAAGTCTGTTTATTTTTTTTTTGATCATACCACGTACTTTTTGGCTATCATATCTCTTCTATTCTTTCATGAGTAGAGAACTACACATTATCATTGTTATTATAGTTAAAAATAATCTACTTGAAAAATAATCATTTGTTATTGATTTGTCAATGATGGTTTGTCTGTTTCGTATGACTATTGCATGTAGTTGTATCTATTCTTTGGACAATAGCTATGAGGCTCGGCACAAAACCGCTGATACCCTCTCCGACTATGTACATAACTAAATATATGTCTTAATAATTGCCCTAAGATGGTATAAATAATACAGAACTAGTACATCCAACTAACGCCATAGTGAATATTAATATACACAAAACTATACTGTGTAGTACTTTTTGGCTGTCATATCTCTTCTATTCTCTCATGAGTAGTAGCAGTTAATCAAGGTCCTACTGTATAACTATATTGGCCATTGTTTTGTATAATATTAAGACACTATACCTGTGTTATACCTATTTTAGTTCAACCAATAGGCAACAGTAAAATTGTGATGTTTAGGTTAAAAACATGAATAGTGTCTTAACCTAGTTTATGTTTTAAATACTTTTAAAAAATGGTATACATATTTTGTAGTTTTTTACTGATAATTTAGTATGTTTAGTTTAGCTATAAAGTATTGTAATTTATATGATACTTGCATTATAATGTGAATTTTATATAATATTAATATTTGTTGTTCATGATATAATTAAATTATTAATTTATATATTTACATATTAAGTGTGTGTGTATTCACTCCTATAGAAAAATAAATAATATAAAGCTTTCAGAAATATATTGTTTTTAACTTACAATTAAAATCGCTCCTGTATTTGTGTTGTAGAGAGGCGATGTTGGACTTGTAAAGGCAGTCATCAACATGTATATTATTGATATTAAACAAACACTGCATAATATGAATATCACATGTTTAGATGTTCGATTTGTATAATACGCAATAAAACACGCTATAGGATTTGCAATATTAGATAAATTGGTTGCCAAGTGATATGCCATATATCCATACGGTAAACAAGAGTATGATTGAATGCTTGGCAATAATCCATTTGCAAAAAATACAATTACACCTAGTATTGCTAATAACAATTTGTTTAAATGATTATTAACTTTGGTTATATTACTATTATGAACTTCAACACTTTCTGATTTTGTTTGAATTTTTTCCTTTTTACAAGTTGGTGAATATTCAAGACATAAATAAGATACTGTGCTACCACACATTATCATTCCTATTATAGTAAAAAATAATCCACTTGAAAAATAAGCATTTGTTATTGATTTGTCAATTATGGTTTGTCCGTTTCGTATGACTGTATTGCATGTAGTTGTACCTATTCCTTGGACAATAGCTATGAGGCTCGGCACAAAACCGCTGATACCCTCTCCGACCATGTATGTAACTAAATATATGTCTGAATAGTTGCTTAATGACGGTATAAATAATACAGAACTAGTACATCCAACTAACGCCATAGTGAATGTTAATATACATAAAACTATACTGTGTGGTTGACCAAAAATTTCACCAGAAATATTGTAGAACATTGCCATTAAGAACACGGATATGATACCTAGCATGAGTATGAATATGGTCAATGGTCTATCAAATCGATTCCCATATTTCTTGCGCCATAGGCTGTACAGTAATGGACCCAAATTACCGATTTGTATTGCGATTGATATGTATGATGGTAAATTCCATCCTTCTGGTGCACTTTGAACAAGCAAAGGCAATTGTGTATACAAACTATTGACCAGTATCCAAGATCCTACTCCAAACATGCACGTCAATAGATCCAAAAACCTGTTGGAAGAAATATGTGTTGATATAAATTTTAATTCAATTACAACAAAATATTATTGTTGTTTTCAAATTATGTAAACTGAATAATACATACTTAATTTATAATTGCACTCATTGTTTTAATGTAAAGAAAAATAAACAAAATTGCAATTTCTAATTTTAGTTATTAATAAAATAAATTTAAAGCATATTTATAATAAAAAACTTACCATTTTCGTTCAACTATAGAGTTTGTTTCTAAGCTGTATACTTTCATTCGTTTATGTTTTAAATAAGTATTTTCATCAACCCTAAAAAAATATCAAGCATAATCAATACCATAAATCAGTTAGGTGCTTAGTGAATTGCTAAAATTATAAAAAATATTTTTTTTTTTTTTTTATTACAAAAAAATTGTTTATATACTAAACCATTTTTCATAGAATATTTACATCATATTTGATTCATTAATAAAACAGTTATGAATTTTAATTTATAAACACTAAAACTAATACAATATGATAAAGTTATATGTATAAAAAAATATGATCTTATTCTCAATAATTTTATTTAAGATATTATTAATAAAAGTTAATTTATGATTTACAGGTCTTATGTATACAGCAATGATTATTTACAAATTACACACACAAGAATGGTTTACAAATAAAACTAATTGTTAAATTACTAAAATGTGTGAAAGAATTTAATAGTCATATAGATTAGATAACTCCTCAAATTATATTTAGATGAAAACCCCTCTGTTATAGATAAATAGTATTTGCAGATAGCATACAACAATTATATATTAATTTGAATGTATTACTATAAAACGTTCAATAATTTTATGAAAGATTGATCGATTTTATTTGGAATACATAATTTTCAGTTAAATAACAAAAACAAATGAAGTATTACAAATAATTAATCAATAAATTATAATAATAGTTTAGAGTTAAATAGGTAGTTTTAATTTATTCATTAATTTTAAAAATTGTTTAGGCAAATTAGGTAAAATTAAATAATATTAATATGTTAATGTTATATTATTAATACCTAATAATAATTTATTTAAGCTCCTATATAAATATTATTTGTTGTGTAAATGTAACTAAGGGAAAACATTGTCGGATAATCCTTTATGTACCTACATATGAGTATAACACACTAAAACTAGGAATTCACACGCAAGAAAAAAATTAAATAATACTTAACAGTTGCAGTTAATAAAATGTAGTTTAGTATTTTACTATTTCTTGTGTAGCTATTGTAATTTTATTGGTAAAATAGTTTAGTTTCCACTAAACAGGCAACAATTTATAATGTATCTATAGAATTATCAAAGTGTGTAGGTTCTAAACATATACAAAATCCATGATAAAATATAACACTGGAATTAATAAATCCATGTTTTTTTTTTATTAAGTCTACAGTTAAAATAGGTATGTTAAAAAAAAGATGGATGTGAAACTGTTGTAGAAGAGAAATTGGAACTTTGGAAGGAAATAAATAAATTTATATCTGTATGCAACAATAAACCATTGCTAACGAAAAACAATTCTAAGCAGAGTATTATTAGTTGTATCTTTTACTTATTGCCAAGGTAACCCAGAAATTGATAAAAAAGTTCTTATACAATTTTGAATTAGAACAAGATTTCTGGTAGAAAAATTGTTTACTGACACAAAAAATTTTTTATAGTAATACATTCCACTCTTCGTTCAGAAATCAGAATCTATATAATATAAATAATTGTTTAAAAAATATATTAAATGTCCGAGTAAATAAATATACAATATTTATAAATTATCAGACAATTTTTGTAGTTATCTAAACTATCTATTGGTGAAAAATATATCCTTTCAATTTTTTAGATTTCGGCAAATTCAAAATGTGAAACTGATATTCTCGATTTATTAAAATTAAAATCAATGTTTTTGAATTAAATATTTATAGGTAGGTTATACACCTATTATTTTATAAATCCAAAAGTTAGAGTTTCTAAATTTACTATAATAATATTGTATTATACTAAGATACTAAATTAAAATTAATTACTATAATAATAATAATAAACAAATTTCCATGTACTTGAAATATTAAAATATTATGTTCTTGCAGTCGTCTAAAAATGAGAAACACAGTGCGATAGATAGACGGATTGAAATATAAAAAAAAAATAAAAATATTTTTGCCGATCGATTATATGAAAAAATATATTCCAGAATATTTTATATTATAGTTAAGTATAGTTATGAAAATTGCACAATAAGAATAAAATAAATTGATTAACCGGAATTTGTTCTTATATGACCATATAGGTACCAAGATACATAAACACTAGAAACTAACAACTGTCGACGACGAAACGATTGACGATGTGGAAAAAAAAAAAATAGGAAGGTTACGTTTGAAAAGTCCTACGCGTAAACTACCCTCGCACGAACTGCAGTAGCCCACTACGACCAATACTGATGTCGTCACTAGTGTAATTGATTCGATCTAAAACACATAAAAGTTAAAGTAATAGGTAGTCACCGGTGTCGTGCTCCGGCGAGTCGACGTATCCCCACCGCCACACTGCGACCAATTAATACAAATATATAATATTATAGTTTCGAGTATGAATAAAAAGAAACAAATTAAAAATGTCACTGGCCGACAAGAAGATACCGATTTCTACAGAATAAATTGTGAAACTATGAACTATGACGACGGCGTGTTCGTGGATCATGTTGTACCCAGGGAATTGGGTCGTTCGTATCAAATGAGATTAGATTGTTTTTTAGAAACGAACACGCGAGCGTATATTATCATATTATGTTAGACGGGTGTTTTTGAAAAATCGTAAACCGCCCAAAAGTTGTGTTATACAATGTAATATCGGATATACCGAGGGTTACATTCAATCCTCGGTAGATCCCATAAAATCCTAAAAATGACATAAAAAAAAAAAAAAAATGATTGTGTATCATAAAAATCAAAATAAAACGTTAAAAATACATGATAGGCACCCGGAGAGGGGCAAGACGAGGAATTTGCCCTACCCCCTCTAGACTTCGGATATAATTTTGAAAATTATAACTTTTATTATTGTAAACATTTCATTGATATTTCGACTATAGTATTGATTTATACATTTCAAATTTACGAAGAAAAAAAAATCAATACATTCGTATAATGCAGTCCTTCACAATGATTAGATTTACAACCATACAAGGGTCTAAAAATATACAAATCAATATGGAAATCCGTGAACTAACAATAATTTGATTCCATATTTTCTCAGCTACAAATATTAGCGTGACAGAAAGGTACTTTACAAAGAGTTGAAACTTGGCTTCGGTCTACGACAAGTGAAGTTCGATTAAATGGTCTATGTATAAATTATGTTAACCGTTCGTCGTAAAAAGGGTTAATTGTGGAAAAGATTAATTCATTGAAAGGTTAATAACAAACTTTGCAATAAAACAATCGTGAAGACTTCAGTTTTTGTTTAATAACGAATACAATTTTTTTTTAATGTACCCACTTTTGGAGTTATGTTATAGATAGCAAAGAATAAATCTATTTTAATATACCTTTTGGTGTTTAATTTTATTTTGCCCCACCCCCCTTGATAAATTTCCTACGCGCGACCATACACAACGAATTTCTAACGAAACTATGAGCCATTGAATTTTAACATTACCATCGCCCCAATAATTTATAATATGCTTACCTACTTAATAGTTTGTTTTATTATAAAATTCGTGCTAGCGTGTAAAAATCTTAAATTTTAAATCTAATACTTTAAAATGCTCTAAAAATGAAGAAAACTACTTAAAAATCAAAAGATGTACAATAAAATGTCAACGCAAACTGCATTGAAGTCTCAGCCCTAGTGATCAGCTATATCAGTAAAATGTACGATTATATATTTTTTTTCAACCGTTAATGGGTAGATTTGCAATGTTTAACTTCGTCCTCCATTTTTACAATCTTCAACAAGCCTTTTCAATTGAGCGTAAGTATTATTTATCTTTGCGTCACTTTTCAATTGAAACATGTAAGAGTTTCTTGGTCTTTCTGGTAGTTCGAATTGCACCTTCAATAGTGTGATGCAATTCATCATGCGTAGAGCGAAAACCATCGCTTTACGATATAGCTCTCATTATTAGTCTTAAAAAGGTATAAAATTGAATTCGTCCAAAGTCAACGGCCTTCCTGTTTGTTTCTGCATACGTATGTGCGTAACGGCCGGTATTCGCGGCGCAATAATATGGCGGACACGTCTTAACGATTTTAATTTTTCAAGCCGATTGAGCCTTATTTAAGTACCAAAAAAATATTACCGGTTTCCAGTGTAACACCAATATTTTTCGCTAATGGAACGGCGATAATTAATTCCGCGATGATGGTGTCGTAAAGTACAAAAATACATAATTTATCAAAAATCACGTGCCCGTTTTGAATCATGTCACTATTTTGTATAATATCATATCGCACTGACAATGCGGTATGACTTCACTTGTAAACGTAATATATTAGCCATTATTAGGTATACGATTTTTAGATTCGGATTGCAGCGAGAAACGTACATATCGGTTTTACAATAATGATATTATGTTTATTGTTATTTTTTTTATTTGTGAACAACTTTTCTACCGGCAATCTCATTCCGATGTACCAAGTGTAGCACTGTGTTGTTCCGAAAGGAAACTTCATCTACTTGATACTTTAGGGATGTGGTTTTTTGATTTTTCAAGCAGCTTTCGTGACAATTGGGAAACCGGAAAAAAAAACACGGGAAAAACTGGAAAATTCACGAAATGTATTATTTTCAATTTCGTTGTAATTCAGTTCAAAATATTCACACAGATTTGAAATTTAGACAAAGAACTTTTATTCTCCTTTTATAGACATGATGGTAACATGTTCAAAACATTTGAGCAATTTTTGTAATTTTTATTCGGTAGGTAGATACTCAGTAGATGGTGTATACAATTGTTAGACCAGAGATGCTTGAAAATGTTACAGGAGGTTCATTATATCCAAATAAAACTTTATGATAAAAATAAAAATTTAGTGTAATGTGGTATATTATTTATTTTTTTTTATAAGAATTTTAATATCAAATTTTGACGAAAATCGTAAATATTACGGCCTCTGAAAACATGTTTAACTGAACTTCACTCCGAATCGTTTCTCGTTAGAACGGAATGAATGACGGTTAATCGTCGCATATAAATATAAATTAAATTCCCCTCTATATCCTACCTTCCCAACTTTTCACCTATAACGGTGGTCCGCCCATCGTGCGAAGTATGTCCGTCCGTTTTCTTATTTCTGGACAAAACTGTGGTGTTTTAATTCAATTGTAATTGGTAACGATATTGTGATCATCGGTTTGTACATTTTAATATTATTCCGCATTCGTCTAGAAATTAGAATCCGTTTCACTCTGTTTACATAACAATACGAACACCAACCTGACAACCTAACATAACAAAATTAATACGGCCGCCTGTGGTACATACCCGGGCCGATTATGTAATCGTCCACGGACGACACACGATAAAATGTAGAACTTCATTCACGGAATCAATAGGGTTCGCATTAATTCTAATTAGTCGATACCACAATAATAATTATAATTATTGACTATTGTCGTTCAACCGGATAGAGCAATACTATAAAAAAAAAAAAATGTTTGGATTACCGCGAATTGCTGTTAACGCACATCGATTAGATTATCCGCCTCGTGACCGTAATTATAATAATAAAACACAGATAGTAATATGCGTTATAATAATGTTGTTTTCATAGTGGAATAATGCACTGCTAAGTGTAAATTATAATAGCCCGCGTCCGCGATTACAACGTTGGCTGCCGACCGCGATCGACACGTAAAACTATGCAAACAAAATGTATTGCGAATGTTTATATTTAAGTGTGTCAAACTTGAAAATAACTCGTACGCGTATCGATTTATCTCCGAAGGACATGGGACTGATTTTTTTTTTTTCATAAGCGAGTGCCGAGCAGGTCGGTACAACGTATCATTGTATGATTTTTAATTGCCCGAATTGTTAATTCAAATAAATTCCCACGTTTATTATCGCGTATATAATAGGTAGGTATTAGATGTCTATAGTATGTTATTGTAAACTATTTTTGGTGCCAAATCCTAATAGTTTCAACGGGGTAGAAAAATATAGAAAAGTTATTCGAATAATGATACAAGCAAGAAGAAAAATATCATTGCATAATATTATAGTATATATGTATTATTATTATTAGGTGGGTATTATTATAGCAGGAGCGGTCAAAAGGAGCGAGGATTAGGGTATGTAATCTTATTTTTCTTAAATATTTATAGTAGTACCTATATTATTATATTATATTATCCGTAACTTTACAATCATAAAACAAATTAAGTAAATAAAATAAGCTTTTAGAAGTTATCGTTGTCCCCCTCCTCTATGACAAAATCATTTGACCGCCACTGTATTATATAGGTACCGAACGTATCGATTTCGTATCGTGTATGACTTGTCAACGACGTGTGTGTGTGTGCGTGCGTGTGCGTGTGTGTGTGTGTGTGTGTGTGTGTGCGCGGCGCGCGTTCGATTACTCACTTCATTTTTGATGCCTTACTGTGTTGCACTCTTGTCGGCCAATCAGAAATAACACACGTTAACAGCAGCTATTTATAAAACGTACGAAATATTATATCGTTGATAAATCATTGAACGTCCATAACCACTGCTGCAGGCCACGCCGGTACCAAAATATCTGTCTATACAACCGATCGCGGTTACCGTGAGCGCGCAACAGCCTACTAGAACAATAGCATTAGCGGCGCGTGCCACGATCGACCGATTTGTGAATCGCCAATATTTATCAAACACACGGCATTACACGTAGTTCCGCCGTGGTGGCAGAACGCAGATTGTTTGGTACACCGCCGCCCGGTCGGTGGTCACCCTTGACCCGTTGGCCGTTGCCCGTGTATGGGTAATCATTCCGGAACAACGGCGATGTCCACGCGCGCGTTTAGAGTGGGGAGACAATTGTACAACTATTAAAAACTACACTATAATACTATAGGCACTAGGCAGGTGCCTACGAATCGTACCTATCGGCTGTTATTATTATGTAGATAAATCTGCTAATATACCTAACCTGACAATAAAACGTGTGCTCGTACCTATGAAAGTTTCAACATTCGAACTGCGATTTGCCTATGTTTGCGTCACCGACCAATCGGAACAATACCGTTTATACACGTGCGTGATCTTGTATACTTTGTACTAGTACGCAGAAGCATTAAAAAGCTGTATCGTCCGAATTACTAATGGTTTACAATTTCCATTGATTGTAGGTTTATTCAATAATAATAATAATATGTATTTCAATGACAAATTGCAAATTATAAACGAAAATTCAATAAAAGAGCAAAACCAAAAATCAATTACTTGTGAAAAGCAAACATAACATAAAGATATTTAGATTTACATTGTATAATCTTTTGTGTAATTGACCCTTGTGTAATTAACTCTTTACCCCTTTGGGGTGTTTAAACTTTTTTTTATTAAATTAAATAAATAATATGTATTAGTAATATTAGATATAAATAGTAAATATAATAGGAATGTTAGAACTGTTGGTTGGCCTCAAATTAGGTTGATCGAGAGGAAGGCTCAGAACGAGGTAGGTGCATTGGCCAAATAATGAAAGAAGACCACTGAGTTACTTCCTACGAAGAGCTAATCCATATTTTGTTATACCAATCCCAATATTTAAAACTTAAACCCATGGCACCAACTAGATCCAAAATCCAATGAAAAAAAGTATCTTGTCATTTTTTGATTGGAGGTAAGATTTCTGGTAGAAAAGTTTTTAACAAAAAAAAAAACCTCAGAATCGATTGTACAATAAAAATCAATATTGTTTAAAAAAGAATATTCGATCGATTCGAATAATTCTAAATGTATAATCTAAAATGGAACTACCATTTTTATGCTACTATTTCTTTATATAGATAGGTATAATACATTATAATAACATTAAGATGTACAATCTGTATTTTCATCAATTTTATTAAAACTCTGTAAATTGTAATTGATTAGGTAGACTAAGAACATAGATTTGAGATTTTTTTTAAATTGTGTAATAAATATTACACAATTCGTGGATTTCTAACACATAGGTACGAGTATAATAGTAGCACTGATTTTATTAAGTATATTAGAAAATGTATGCTATCAGGTATATTTGAAAGATAACAGCAGACGTCATACTGATCTAGAATGCCACCTTATTACTTATCACCAAATGTTATTAATAAACAATTTTAAAATATTTCGAAATATCTAAAACAAATCATATATATGTTAATATGGTTAAGTATTCTTGTTAAGTAATATAAGTATTCTACGTCAAAAATTAAAAATACTACATATGATAAAGTCAACAGTGAAACAATAGAAAAGCAGAAAATATTTGAAACTGATAAATACAACCATATATAGAGTGTTCCACCATTTTCGACGAATTTTTCTAGCGCTATTAATATTAAATTGTTTACGATTTGAGGGGGACATCGATTTGGAAAAAAATTAAATTTTTATTTTCATCCCCTTAAAACAAAATAAAAACTATTCACTTTAAAAAATTTTCAAAATAGCCATTTTGTAAAAATGTTATTCTAAAAATTGTAATATATCATAAATTCATATCCGATTAATAGTTTTTTAATTATAGTCGTTTTAATTTCTAGAAAATAGGCATGAAAATAATTAATATTCAATAGAAGGTAACGAATTACTATGCTCATTGTAATTCCTTATCGCATAATAAGTTATTTTATTAAATATTAATTGTTTTTACGCCTAATTAAAACGACCATAATTAAAAGATTATTCATAGGATATGAATGTGTGATACATTAAATTTTTTAAATAATATTTTTTTACAAAATGGCTATTTTGAAAATTTGTGAATAAATAAAATGTAAATTGTTTTTTGTCTTTAAGAGATGAAAATAAAAATTTAATTTTTCCCCAAATCGATGTCCCCCTTGGAGTCAAATCGATTGAAAAAAAAAATCGAAAAAAGTGTAATGTTAACAGTACTAGAAAAATCTTTCGAACATGTTGGAATACATTATATATACTGGGTATTTCTAAAATCAAAACCCTAGATAACTTTTAGTTCTTTACTCAGCTAAAATATTTATAAATTGTATCATGAATTATCTCAATGTATATGAAAAGGTAGTGATTGCTCTGTAGATACATAATCAGGACTAATCAGGTGATATTAATGACTATACCTTCTCACTTCTCGGAAACTAATGATTCATCATCAAATTCCAAAACGTTATGATTTGTTTCTTTGCAACATTGTTCCTATGTACTATACAGTTTCGCAAAAATCATTCAAACATGATATTATGAATTTTTAGGCGTTTAAAAAAAAAAAATTACGTATTTAACACTTAGTTATATATATATATATTTTTTTTTCATGTATACCTACTAGTGAATACTGAATATCTATGGATTTGGATATTTTTTTTTATTTGAAGAGTATACTTTACATTCACAGATGCCAGGTGGCCAATCAAATAAATTAAAATCTAATCATATAGACTTCGAAGATACACCTAATAATGTAATATAGTATAACACTAGAATATTACCAAATTTTCCGAATTGTCCAAATTGAAAAATTAAATTGACAACAGGGGAGATGATGACAAGAAGTAACGTTGGTGTATTGCGGATAATATATAATAATAGTATTAATTAGGATCAGGGCTATGGACTTTATGCATTTAAAATCAACAACAAACAGCTTAAAAACGTTAAAAACCTCTGAACAAAAATTTAAAAACAAGAATAACAGAGAGCCCGAAGGAGTTTGAAATTTCCATCCCAACCTCCATAACGTCTCTAACCATTAAATGCAATTGTCTAACATATGTAATTTTATTTTTTATACTTACAATTTACTATGTACTTACAGTTTTATTAAAAAACTTGTGTTAATAACTTTTATAGTGTTCGAAAATTGTATTTTATGTTAGAGCTATTAGAGGGGGGTGTAAAACTTATTTGGTTTTTTTTATTGTCATGCTATTAAAATCTATCTTTTCAGTCAAATTTGCTTTGAGAAAAATTGCTATCGTTGTAAATCGGAGTAAAATTGTTGGTAAAAGTTTTTCACAGAAAAAAAAATCATAATATTTCGTACATTTTATCATTTTTCTCAGTTTTTTTTTCGGTTTTTCACATTTAGTAAGAAAACTCCTGAGAAAATCGAAAAATGACCTCCTAAAAGTACTACCCCAAGAAAGTTTTCTTTTAGAAAAGGGTCTACATCGTATATATCAGAGTAAACTTTTTGGTATAAAAAGTGTTCGCATGAAAAAAAAATATCTTTGTAAAAAAAAACTAATATGTTCTTCGCTACACTTAGAATCTAAACTATAACTGACTAAATATGTATAAAGCTCTAACAAGTTAAAGACAATACGTTTAAAACTTACTTTAAAATCTATTGAATTCGGCGCAAATTAACAATTGAGTGTTAAACTAGTGATGTATAGGTACTAGTTATAGTTTGACGCATGCATTCAGTGGCGCTGAATTTAATTGATTTGAACCGTTTTTTACAAGATAAAGACAATAAATTTAATAACCGTGTATTATAATATTTTATAATTCTATATAATAAAGATTACCACCCAATTATAATGTGAGTTCGATAATAAAAACTTGTTCTGCTTGATTAAAAAATATTGTTTACTGTGCAAGATTAATTGCCGAAAAAAATATGCGCGTATATGAGTATTCTGGAAATTATCTGTATTACCACCAAAACAAAACATTATTCACATTTATGATAGCTAAGTAAACATATTTGGTTTTATTATGTGTGCTTTTTTTTAAGTCAACAACTTTTCTTCGAGAAATTTTAAATTAGCGTGTTTGAAGTGCACATTTTGATAAAAATCGAAAAAATCACTTCATTTTGAAATATGTTTAACCGAACTTCACCTGGTATCGTTTTTCGTTAACAACGATTTATTACTGCATACAGATAAAATAATTGAAATAACTGTATATATTTGCACCTATAACTACAGTGGCATACCTATTAGCAGTACCTATCTTTTTTTATTTCTATACTCTTTAGTGTCGTCCTGGGCACAGGATACGTAAGGGCAGTTGACCCATTCCTCCCCTTGGATTTTGTCTGGATCATTATGTAACATATAATATCGCAAAATAATAAATTGTTTCTTTTATTTTTATTAGATAGGTATTAATTTTATGTTACCCACAGAATGTACAAATAAAAAAAATAAGTTAATTTCAAAATGGTCTAATTATTATTTGTTTAATTTATGAAACCTAGAAACGTTTAGTAAAACTATTAATTCAGAGGTAATTAACATTTTATGTACGATGTACCTATTTGAAAAAATGCATTTATTAAATTAATATTAAATATCAATTAAGTGGTTAAAATTAATGCTGTCATCTGTAAAATTAAGTTTTAACTAACTGTATACATAATTCATACAAAATTTAACATTCTCTATATACTATAAATTACACCCTTGGCCCTACTCAGCTTTGCCCACCTCCGAGCAAACTAAATCTTCTGAGCCTCTTAATAAAAAAATATCAGATTAATTATAGCAAAAATATATTGCTTAGCGGATGATAATGTAATCCTCATACACGAAAAGTATTGACAAATTATATTCTTAAGTTAATAAAATGTTTAAAATTGTAAAATCATAGTTCAGTAATAATTATCTTAACTCTAGAACTAAACTTAAATAAATCGAAACACATTATCTTTAATATTTCAAATATTACTTATGATATAAGTGGAAACTATGCATCCATAATACTTCTTATTGAAATAATGTTTCCAATAATTGTACTTGTGCTAATATCGAGGAAATACATTTCATCAAATATTTAAGATTATAATACATCGATTCCCAATTAAAATGGAATGTTCATATAGATTACCTATGAAATGAAATAAGTCATAAATTCTTTTATGTTTTAGGAACCTAAAATCTATATTCGATAAACTCAATTTCTAATTATTTAGATTTATTCAGTTTAATCAATAATTGCATTTGGTATTGAGATATGAGGCTATGAATAAATGTATTAAGTTTAATTTAAAAGTGTCAATTTTTACTAGTAGATACCTACTCATTTTATTTATAAAGAACTTAATGTTTTGGACTTTGATAAATTTCTCACTAAGTGTACATTACCATTAATTTTTAAAAATAATGTATTTACCAAAATGTAAGATGTAACCATAGTTATAATACTATATAGATTTAAGAAAAATATAAAAACTTTTATCGGTTTGTTCTTTATTCCTATTATTGTAATATTAATACAACCAATTATTATCATTAGTACTCACAGTCTTAAATTACTTAACCGAATACCACTACTATTTTATAGGTTAGAAATTTTGAATACTGTTCGTTTTACTTTTTGTCGGGTACATGAATATATATACTGTTATGCCAACCACCCATAATCAACAATTGACAGTTTAAATTCACAATCTGATGTAATTTGAAAACAAAAATTTTAATCAATCTCCCTTTCCAAATGGAATATTCCTAGCGCGCCTACATGGTTTTTTTGTTGAAAGGAATAAAATGTATTTATAATTTTTGTAAAAATATTATATAGGATCAAAATGTTTTCGGAGTGGAACAAAATGTATCAAATAGGAATAAATTATACCTATGGAACAAAATTACGCCTATGATCAATGCTATGAGTTTTATAACCTCACTGGTATACATATTACATATGTTTGATTTTTTAAATGATTCAGCTGATCCTAGCAGATGGGCATTTCTGACTTATCTTTTCGCTTTGGGTCTCGTCTCGGTCAAATTTTCATTGATATATTATATTTTAAATAAATTTATTACAGTTGATATAGTGTCAATTATATTGGTTTTTAATACTTAAATTTCTATAATGTTTTCCTCAGCAGTACGCGCGTGTTCCAAAATGTCCCGTGGGGTTTTTGCCGTTCGCCGGCATCAAACTGCACGCCCGATTATGGCTGTTTCTACAAGGTAATACTGATATGATACTGGTAATATGATCGTTTTGTATGTCCATTTGGTAAGAATAAATAGTGATTTTTGATTTTAATCAATTTTCATTAGATTCATGTCGGAACATAAAGAAGAAACCGATGAAGAATTTTATGCAAGGTATGAAGCGTATTTCAACCGCAAGGACATAGATGGTTGGGAAGCGCGAAAGGCAATGAACGATTTAGCCGGACAAGATGCAATTGCTGACCCAAAAGTATGATAAAGAATTTTTTGAGTCAATTAAATACCTTATATATTTTTATTTGTACTAGGTGATTATTGCTGCATTAAAAGCTTGTCGTCGTCTTAATGATTATGCTATGGCAATAAGGTTCCTCGAGAGTGTGCGAATCAAAAGTGAAATTGATAGTAATATCTATCCTTACATTTTGCAAGAAATTTCTCCAACTCTTCAAGAATTAGGTATTGACACACCCGAAGCTCTTGGATACGACAAACCAGAATTGGGGTTAGATGATGTTGACCATATATATTAAATAATATTACTTATTCTGTAATTGCTGGTGTTAAATATTACCTGGTTAAAATTGTATATTAGGTAAAATCTGTTTATTTGTGTCTATAGAAAACAAATAAAAATTATAACTATTTTTAGTCAATATTATTTTTAATATTGTTATTTATTGATATAAATAGTTAATGCATTTTTCAGTCCTTATTTTATTATTATGTATCTGAAAAATATAATATAAGTAACAGTAATTGATGCAGTTCTATGGTACATGCTTTAACTTGAGATTAGTTTTTGCTGCAAAATAAGTTAGTCAATTAATGAAATATCAATAAGATTTAAAGGTAAGTTCTATTATAGTGTGGTGACCAACTATGTTGTATAGCTTGGAGGTTTGGGCGGAAGATAGATAAAGTAAAACAGAGAATGAGTGTAGCAGACATGAGATTTCTTGGCTGCACATCAAGAGAAGATGGAATAATAAATGAATACATAAATGGTGGCTTCGATAGCAGATTAAATGAGAAAAAACAAACAGATGTTTTAGACATGTTATGAAGATATAGGAATCAGAAGCAGTATTGTATTATAATGCAGTATTTTAATGGAAATAAACTTAAGAGGAAATACTAGAAAATAGGTAGTTGGGTGGAAGTTTAGGTCATGGGCAGCTAACACCAAAAGCTGGTGAAGTTAGAAGGAGAAGAAAATTTTTTTTAAGTTTTTCAAAAGAGGGACAATTGCTTAATGGGAACAAATTGGCATAGTCCTGAAAAATGTATTCATTTTATGCAATTTAACTATGTTTATTAGGGACAAACCTTCGGTTATAAGGACATATATATCTATAAATACCTACTTTCTTATTAAAAATATAATTATCTAATCTGTATGTCCATAAATTTTATATTCTATGTATTTAATTTTTGTCCATCATTTCTTTTTGTCTTATTATCACGTTAGTGTAAGCAAAGTCTTAACAAATTACATCAAAGAAGAATGGATCATTTTCTGCAGCTTATCTAATTATAAATTAAATATGTATGTATTTTTTTGCAAAAATTATTCGGTTTATCAATTAATTTATAGTAAAAATGTATAATAAATAAATCAATTAATTAATTAATACCACTACTATTACTGTTAAATAATACTACTCATAATATTTTGTAAAAAAAATTATTATGTATATATGCACTTTAATAGTTTTTTTTCGTTAATTCAGATAATCGGACAGTCGATTTGTTAAATTGTCTTTATATTGATCTTTTTTTAAAATTCATAGTAAATATAACTAGTAGGTATTTAGTACCTAGTAAATATAGTAATAAATGTTGAAATTTGCTGTTTTTTATTTGTCATACATTTTTTGTCACTTATTTTTTGTAATTATATTTTAACTATATATATGGAACAATTCTAAGTGTGATCTATTATCTGACTATTACAGATTCATTAATTCATATTTTAGATTATATTAATAGATCTTTATATGTCTTAATAAAGGTAATCCTAGAAGAAAAGTTGCTCACTGATAAAAAAAAATATAAATAATAATTATTGTAACACCAACTATACATTCTTCGTTTTTCTCAGAATCTAAAATCAATATTTTATTGTTGACATAGTGACGCCATAACTTAAAAACGGTTAGATCAATTTGGTTGATTTGTTGTATTCGTCAAGACAATGTTTATATGAAAGAAAATTTTGAAAAATCCGCCGATCTAAATTTAGTTGGTATTTTTATGTGAAAATCTCAATAGGTAATTTTTTGTATTTCATTCATAAAATAATTTTATAACTGACGTTCAAATTTTATGCGGTTTTTGAAAAATGTCCCGCTTTGTCTGGACTCTGGAATAGGTTTATAGCTGTTGAAATTCACCCCATTTTAAATACCATCTCTTAAAATTTGGTTTTTAAGTATTTTTAGTATAAAAATCCAATTATTATTGTTGATTTATAGTAATTTATTAATAATTAATAACAGTTTATTTTCCATAGATACTCATACAATACAGAGATCAATGTATTGTGTGGGTAAAGACGTAGGTAAAACACATAAAATATCATTGACATTGATATGGGTAGGACAATAATACTTAATTATATAGCTGCAATAGTAAAGCATTACATTAGCATTATCAAAATAAGGAAATATTTTCATGAAGTCAATAAGTTATCAGTTTCATTGAATTATATTAAATTATTACCCATATTAGATTTGAAAATTACTATATAATATTATTATTATAATTATTAAGAATTTTTGTGAATTTATAAAAATAATTGTTATTTTATGCTAGAATAGTCAACACTATTATTGGTAGATAGTTCTCAATTTTTAACTATTATACCTCATGGATATTTTTAATCCTTTCGGACCCAAAATATTAAAAAAAAATGTATTTGACTTGCTAATTGGTATGAGTAAGATCATGTTTTGGAGAAGTTTTTATTTTTTTTTTTGTAATTTTTGAAAATCTCTTAATTTGTCTAGATACGATGTTTAAAATATTCATAAGGAACCTAACCTATAGGGATTATAAGTTTTAATAATTTTAATTCAGCAATTTATTCATTAAAATATTATCTTAATTTAATATATTAATTTTGTATTCTTTATTTATAGTCAATTTAAATACGATATAATATAACATGAATAGGTAGTACTTATATAAGACTTTTACAAAAAAAAAATTAGTGTCCGTATTTAAAAATTTAAAAATGTTCAATGTTTTTTTTCATGGAAGAAATAAAATACCGCTTATCTAACCTCAAAAATATATACGTTGATACAATCTTTACATCTTCATTAATAAAATTTGTTTTGTTTACAATTTTGTAAAATAAAATAACATTGTTTTAATAAATTACAAAAAAAAAATTAGCAACAATAATAAGTACATTATATATTAAGTATTTCTTATTATATAGTGTTTATTTATTCAAAATTTTAATTTTTTCAACTTCAATAATATTTGTGTGAATAAATGCAATAAATCTTTTTTTATAAATTTCATAATATATTGTCCCTTCCTAAGTAGTCAAACTGGCGTCTTTTGATGAAAATAATGAATTTGAAGGAAAGAAACGAAAAAAACACAAAAAAGATAAATATGAAGGTAATTTGAATTATTGATTGTCAATATTATATATTGAAATCGTGTTAGTTTATCATGAACATACATTTTATATATTTTATATTTTTGTTAGAATTTTTTCCCAAATAGAGACTATTGCATTGTATTGTGTCTGTTATGTATATATAAATATTTTCCCCATTATTTTTGGCTACTTATAGTAGCTTCTGAACCAAAAAAGCGTGTATCTGAGACTTTAATTTTGATTAAAAAGATTTGAATATATGAACTTTTTTATGCTGTTAGAGGAAATTGATTCTTTTTTAGTTTTATACATACTTACAGACTTTCCAAATGAAGCTAACAGATTGAAATTTTGTATATTTATCAAGCATGTGCCTTTAGAAAGTTTGAACTCACTCCACCCGCCTGTATGTTAGCATAAATCTCAAAAACTACTTTTTCTAAATTGATATAATTTTGTTTTGTTCCATTTTTTATCATCTGAAAGTTTTAGAATATATTTTTTTATTTAAAAAGGGTAGTGGGTGTAATAAAGGTATTAAAGGTAATACAAATTCAGATACAAATTTAAATAAATTTTTTAAAAATTTATAGAATATTGTAAAGACAACAAGTTGGTTGTGAAAAATTTGACTCATTATGGTTATTGGTGCTTTTTTTATTTGTCTTATATTATATTAATTATATATATAGATATACTAATCATTTATTGTTTGGCTTTCTAATATTATTAAGGTCATAATTCAGTAAATTATTATAAATATTGTATGTTTTAGATAAAGAGAAGTCAGGAAGTTTAAAATTAATACTAAAAGTTGGTAGTGGAAGTTGTTTGCCTGCTGATGAAATAGTCAGTAATGGTAATCATGAAGTTAGTGATTATTTATCCAAATCACACAAAAAGAAAAAGAAAAAACACAAACATCACAGAGAAAAAAAAAAGAGAATACGAGACGATATTGCCGTTCATGAAGATATGAGTTTAGGAGAGGAAACTTTAACAGAAGCTCCAATGTCAAAGCGCTCAGTAGGTTTTGAAAATTCTAGTAAAGCTATAACAAATCTTATTGAACCGCCCAATAGTAAGTTAAAAGTGTCTTCTTAACATATTCATTTTCTTACACAAAATGCATTTACCTATATATTTAATAATTTAGGTGAATGGGGATCTGATGAAACAATTATTCCAAATGAAAATCGACAAACTTTGCAACAATTACTAACGCATTTACTTAGAGCATTAGAACGTCGAGATCCTCAACAATTATTTGCATGGCCAGTTACTGATCGCATTGCTCCTAATTATTCTCGTCTTATTTCCAAACCAATGGACTTTGAAACAATTCGACGGCATATTCAAAGTAACCAATATAGTAGCTTAAATGAATTTGTTGTAAGTATATAGTTAATTTAAATTATTTAACTTAAATTTAAAGAAATTAAAAAATAAAATTGTAATACTTTACTCATATAAAGATAAACTTAATTTACATTTTATATTAGTATTTATATTAAATTTTAAAATAATTAAATAGTGACATACTCCATTCAACAAGAGCAGACTTCTATATGTGTCAAATGATTGTTTAATTCTTACATCATATTTTTTAATTTTTATAGCATAGATGTTAATTTCATCTTCATTATAGTTAGTTAATTAAACACTTTTTAAATAAATAATGATAGCTATAATTGAGGGATAATTCTGAATTCTCTGAGTATAAATTTTAGGATGAATTTTATATGACACCAATATTTTTCTTTTGTTGGGTGTAGTAAAAATATTATAAATTGATGTATTAATTTAAATTTTGTATAAATGTCATTTAGTTTTAAATAAGATCAGTAAATAAAAATTTCTGCGGCTAACAATACATATTAAACATTTCATCTTATTTGGGGGATTCTGTAGTTTATCGCAAAGCTTAAAAACTCCCTTCTACTGAAATTTATATTGAAATTCAATTCAATTTTTATCACTTTAATCTGCTTGGAAAAAAACTTTGTTTTCCACACTACCTATACCCAAGTACTTACCTGTAAGAATGAAAGCTAGCTTATTTGGTACAATAGGAATATAGAGTTAGAAGTGTTCTTATGTAGCAGAAAAAAGATAAATGTCTAAAAGACATAATGTGGTACAATAGTCTTTTTTTTTTTCTTGAAAATTTGACAAATATATTTTTGTTGAGATGTTCCCCTCCATAATCTTTTTAATATTTATGATTATATGTATTTTATTACCTATGTATTTTAGTTACATCTAAAAAATCAAATAGTCCAGTTACACTCTGTATATATATAAAAAAAATAAAAATATAATGTAAAATACTTGAAAAAATATCAGCCCCCCCTTCATAATAAATTAATTAAACTTTCCACTTTTAAATATATAATTTATATATATATATATGTTGAGGAAATTTTAGGTGCTTAAGACAAAAGGATACAATGAATAACTAAAAAAATAATCTGACAATCAAAAACAAAACTTTTATAAATGATAAGTATAACGCTAATATATTATAATTTGTATTTATAGGCTGATTTTAAATTGATGTGTGAAAATGCAATGACATATAATCAACCAGAAACTATTTATTACAAAGCAGCTAAACGCCTTCTTCATGCTGGTTTAAAGTTGACTGGTCCTGAAAAATTAAAAACTTTATTATCTGCATTGCCTGGAATGGCTAATATTCCTCCATCTCAACTAGGTTTTGACATTAATCAAGATTATCAAGGAGATAATTCAAATGATACAATTATTGAAAATAATGAACGATTGCTTGATAATGATCTATCAAATCCACGAAAAACTATGTAAATATTTCCTTATTTCTTCATCATTATTGATATTTTTTAATAACATTTTTTTTAGATCAAAATTTGAGGCAATACCTGATAATATGACTCCTGAGGAAATTCTTAAACAGGTTCAAAATGCTGCTAAAATTGCTTCAGAAAAATTGGTTACAAAAAATACCAAGGTATTTATTTGACATTTATATTAATAATTTGTTTTGCTCATACAGTAAAAAATATTTAAGAACTTGCTAGGTTAGTAAATAATATCAGGTATCAAGAATAAAATTATTGTAAATTGTTTCTATTGTAATTTTATGATTTAAATAAGAAATATAATTTTAATTGATTATTTTTATTATAAAAATAACTGATTTAACTTTTTTTGTATACATAAAAATAACTAAATTAGAATAAACCGTTTTATTTACAGTATCACATTTGTTTGTTTTGGTTAATTACTGTATTATTTTACAATTATACATAATATGAAAGAAATAGATGTTTTCTTATAATTACACATGTATTATATATTTATTTATTAATATGGTTTTAAATATTTATAAGGTGGGATTTTTAAAACAACAAAACAATGGATCCACGTCTCTATCAATTTTGGTACCAAATGATGGAATCAACCCAGAAACAGGGGAAAGGCCAGTTCTCTTGGGATCATTAATTGGAAAACTGAGCCACGGAGTTGGATCAATTCCAGGTTTTCGTGAAGATAGACGTAACATGGTTAAAACTGGTACATATTCACTATAAAGTTTTAAATATTTTATCTTCTGTATAAATATATCTGTATATCTTATATCCTATTTGGTTTTTAACATTTATATATATATATTTTTTTTTTTTAGTAAAACCCCTTTATTATGGTGCATTTGGTTCTTATGCCCCAACATATGATTCTACCTTTGCAAACTTAACAAAGGATGAGTCAGATTTAGTATTAAGAACTTATGGTGATGAAACATCTGCACAATATGCAGAAAGGTAAATATGTTTGTTTAGTTTTAGATTCTAAGTGTATTGGTATTACTATAATGTATGCTTATTTTTTTCTGTTTGTACAACCAGAAATTCTTATTATATCAGAAATCTTGCTCCAATTGAAAAATAACAAGAAATATTTTTTGTTGAATTGTAGATATTGTTTGTGCTTTGGGGAAGGCAATTTTTGACTTTTTGAGTTGTTTTGTTATTAATTGGAATAAACCTGACAAATTTAGCGGCATTCAATGGTTTCATTATTTTTGATTTTTTTTTAAATTCAGTTTTAAATAATCATAGAGACTTGTAATTTGCACAGAATATTTATATTGGCCTTTTAGAGATGTGGTAATATGTTCAAAACCTTCTGGACATTTTTGAGCTATTTATAGGCATGTGATGTTTTTTACTTTTTTATTTTATTTAGTTTATTGTGTAAACAATTTTTTAGTCAAACAGAAATTATTGATACTTTATGAGGTTTATTATAAGTAGGACTCAAATTTGTATGCAAATACATAATTTTATTGAATGCAGATTTTTATCAGATTCTCTAACAGAAAACTTGCCCTAAAGTATAGACTTCAGCACTTTTTTTGAAAGGTAATTTTCTCTAGTTGATGCATTTGGGTGGTCATTTTTTGATTTTCCAATGGGTTTTCAAAATAATCGGAAAAAACCTGAAAATTATAGGTAAAACGCGAATATTTACAGTGTGTTCGCGTGGTTACCGTGTTCATTGTTTTTATTATATTAACTAGATGTTTTCTACTTCCTCTAATCCAAAAATGTCCAGAGATCGAAGTTGTTTTTTTTTAATATTTCACTACTGACAGAGTAAAAATAAACTATAAATTCAATTAAGTACAAGCTTAAAATGTTAGTTTACAAAACATAAAAGTTATTAGAAATGTTTTTCTGAATAAAAGTGAAAACTTATCAATGGAAATTAAATTCATACCATCTAATACATTAAATGTGAAATTGGTTCCATTATCCTCGTTCAGTGTTGAATGCTCTTTCAGCCATTAGAAATCAATTTTGAAACCTAACTGTCATACATTTAAATTTAAAAAATCCAAATGTATGTTGTTTCCAAGATGACAACAACAAAGATGAATAAATAAAATAAAAAACAATGCATATAATAAACTTATATCTACAGTATTTTGTTTACACAATTTTGACTTTTTTATTGCATGAAAATTAACGCTCTAATTTATCATAAGTTTTGTAGTAAAAAAAAAATTGTGCATAATGTTGTAGTTTTTTTCAAGCTTTTTAAAATCAAACTTTTAAGAATAAACATTTCAGTATTTAAAAATATGTATAACCAAATTTTGCTCAAAATCATTTTTTATAATAATGTTTTATCATTGTGTACCCACATACATTAAATAACTATGTATCTCTTACCTTCTTATTCTTAGTTTTTTAACAGGCCATTTGCTGCAAAAAAAACCTGTTGGTTTTAATGGTTTTTCTTCTTTGCCTGTTCTTCCCCATTCTCTATTCCAAGCTCTTTCAAGTCATTTACCACTCTATTCTTTCATCTTTGTCTGGGACATCTTATTGGCCTTTTTGTACTTGGCTTTAAGTTTGTAACCTGTTCATTTATCTCTGTTAATTTCAACATATGTCTAACCCAGCTCAATCTACTACTTTTTAGGACACCATTGATATTTGCTACTCCGTACAGGTCTTGAATGTTCTGGTTTGCCCTTATCTTAAATTCTCCTATATTGTTAATTTTTTGTCCATACACTTTTCATAATACCTTCCATTCAAAAGTTGCCAGTTTAAGTTCATATGACTTTGTTGTGGCTTACGCATTACACGCATAAAAGAGAACTGATCTTACTAGAACTTTGTAAAAGAGCTATTTTTGTCTTCCATAATACAATACTTGATTTAAAAAGAGATACCAATCCGAAATAACATCCTGTTGGCAATTAATCTTAGTTTTAATCATGGCTATTTTCGTTCTTGTTTATGTTCACTCCTAGGTATTTTAAATTATCAACTCTTTCAACTTTATATGTCACCAATATCCAGGTGAGCTACTCTTTAGTTGTTCCCAGTTATGACTATGTATTTAGTATTTTCCTTGTTTATGGTTAATGCAATTTTTTAGCAATTTTCTTATAGTATCCTTTAGACTCACTTTATTTTATGTCATTACAAAATACAAATTAACAAAATTATTTCTGTCCAATTTGTATGTTCATTATTTGAATAATACAATTATAATGCTGTCCTACAAAAGCTTGATGAAACCGATTATGATAACTGAGTACGTCTGACATATTTTAAAAATAAACAAATTATTAGAAACTTAAGGAATTGTTCAATGACGATAACATCCGAATATGTAGTATTTGAAAATCAAAATACATGTTTGTTTTCATTTGCTATTTACCTATTCGTATCCATACCTGTGCTTGGTTTAAAATCATTTTTTTTTTAATACAATTTAGTTTATTTCCTTTTATACATAAAAATATTTACAATAACACTAAAAACCACAAATATGCAAAAATTAGCAAAATAAAATTTTGTATGTATGTCACATTAGAAAAGTGTAAAATAAATGTGTATCTTACTCTGAATGTCCTAAGACTAATCAATAAAAATATGCATTTGCTAAAACTTCTGAGCCCTGTTCATAACATACATGGATAATACTTGCATTATTATAAGTAGATCGCTAGTTTTAAATTTGCAGATCATTATACCACGGTAGATCACCTGCTACATGAATGTTATCCTACCTTTTTATTTTTCATTACCTATCTAATGTTCTTGAAAAAAAAAAACTTAATTTTGTTAAAATTAGAAGAAAATATAAAATGTTTAATATTTTTTGATGATACAAATTTTATACTTGACTTATTGTGTATAAATAATATATATTGGTCCATTAATATGCTTTCCATCCAAGATCCAAGATAATCAAAATTATTTTTACATTATTTATTTTCCAGCATTTTGAATTTTACAAAAGATTCAGATTATGCTATGACTATGGCAGATAATTTGTTGGACTTAATGACAGGTGGTGATCATCGTAAAACAAAGCGTACTTTAGATGAGCGAAAAAAACAACAAAATATTTTAGAAGATAGCAAGAAAACTACAAGTCTATCACAGCAACCTTCATCATGTCAACCCTTAGTAATTACACAAGCAAAAACGGGCAATTTAAATACTATAACTGCCAAAAATCAAACTAAATCTGCACCATTACAAATTGATCAGTTAAAATCATTATCAGAACTTGGAATTGATACAAAATTCATAGACTATTACCGTTAGTTGTTAGAATCTACTATATTTATTTATTTATTTATTTATTTATTTTTTATTTATATAGAAGAACAAAGTGTATTTCAAGACAGATTAGATCAAGTTGGTGGTTTGTTAGGTCGTTTACAAAATGCACAAAATCAAAGGCTCAGTGCTCCTCTTCCACAGCATCTTTCACAAATCCCACATCCATCGCCTCAAGAAATTCAATTAGGTATTGAAAATATAAAATATGCTCTCACTGTACTTAAAGTAATGGTCATTTTTACTTATAGCGGATAAAATAACTGAATCCCTTGCGGAAAATTTGAAAAGAGTTCCTCCATCAGCTGTTATGTCAGTCACAGGTGTACGTAAAGCAATGGGAATCGCACAAATATCCCATTTGGATATAAGTCAAAATAGCTGTCATCAATCCAATATGGTAAATCATGGGTCATCTCATCAACAAACACAGGTTTAATACAATTATTAAATTTTTGGCTTATCAATTTAATTTTTAGAAAGTTAATTAAATAAATAACTTTATAGGTATCATTAATTGGAGATGGAATACAAGATCGTGTAGAAGCTGTTGAAGGTACTGTGTCTGGTGTTGATTTAGAATCTGAATTAAGAGAATTTCTTGAAAGTGATCCTACGTTAACTAGTTTTCCATTACATGACGAAAATGATAGAACAATTGAAGAAATATTATCTGAATCGTAAATTGTATTATTTATTGGATTTTTTTTTTTCTAAATATTTATATTTAATATTAAAATTTTTACAAAGAGTAATAATAATAATTTCATATTTATATTAAATAATTTAGTTATGTGTGGTTTTTTTAAATAAATATTTGTATACATGTACTAATTATTTAATTTGTATGTAAATTAATTTAATAATGCCATAATTTTATTTAGATTTTTACAATATATACCATAATATTGAGTATTTTGAAGATAATCTTATTTATTTTCAGTTTTTTTTTTTTTTATTATTTTCATGTTGATGTTAAATTATGTTAATTTCTATAAATGTATCGTGCTAGTATGAAAAATATTTAAAATATGTGTGTGTATACATATGTACATTTTTTTTTTTGTCATTGATACTGTATTATTAATTATTCCATTTTGATAATACACATACTACTAATAAGATATAGGCTAATTTTATAATTTTTAAATATCAAGTATAAAATTTAAATTTAAATTCATAGTAATTCATTTTTTAATTACTGGTATGAGTATATGACAATTTTAGAGAATTAATAGTTTGTTTTGGTTTTTATCTCAATATTTAACTTTGTTTTAAGATAGGTCATAATATAATACATAAATTATAATCCGGGGTTGGAAATTGGACCTTTATTTGTTTTTTGGCTTGGTAATATAACTTGTACAGTGCTATTAAAATGTAAGTCATGCAACATATTCAAGTGGTAAAATTAAAATTTTTTTTTTCTCTTTTGGATAGTATTTTTTTTGCTAATTAAATATGTTTAAGTATTTACTTTTGTCAGCAGTGAGATAGCAATGTAAAAAACTGATATCTACTGTTGTCGGTTAATTGAGAAAAAAAATTTGTTTATTTTAGCATTTGAAGGGGTTATTAATCTTTTTAAATGCTTATAATAAAATTTACTGAAAAGTTTTTTTGTTACTTAAATTCTATAATTTCTGAACCCTGATTATAATATATTAATATATTAAGCCTTTTTAGGGCTCATGTATTGATTCTAAAATTTGACCATATACTAAATAAATGATTAAATTCATATAGTTTTTCTTATTATAATGTATACAACAGCCAGGTTGAATCAAAGATGTAACTGAGTTAATGATAATAAATAATATTCAAAAATTGTAATTATAGACTGGGGGTGTCCAACCCAAGGCTCACGGTAGATTTTAATGCGGCCCTTGCTTCAATTTTCTAACCATCAATTATTTGTATACATTACGAGAAAAAAAATTATTTTAAAAATATAAAATATTAAATAAACTTTAAGTTACATTAATAGTACCTACATGATAGTGTTATTTTTTTTGAGATCCGATGGCGATAATACATGCGCATGGTCCGATTTTGTGAAAATATACAATTATTATTGACGATATGTTCTTTAAATATGAATTTGAGAACAGTTTTCAAGATTTTCATAATAATAGTTAACTCTTTGCTGTTTTCGCAACACCCTTTTCCATTGATATTACTGTTTAGGAAGGAAAATAAATTTCAGATTGAATATATTGTGTTACAATCAGATATTCAATTAAAAGAAAAATTCAATCAGTTGTCTTTATTTAATTTTCATAAATAATATTTACCTAAAAAACATATAGTTATATGACTCATAAACTCTTATATTTATGAATAATTTTTTGAGAATGAAAAACACTCGATTCAGATTTTGATTCATTACTTTCACAAATAAAGCTTTATGAAAAATTTTTCATATTAGCATTGTTGTTCTGAAATTGTTTTCTTTTAATTATAAATAAATATATTTCTCCTTTTATGTATGAATAAAATGTAATAGCTAGTAGCAATATTTCTACTCATTCACTGTAGTAAAATTATAAATAAAATGTATATGGCCTAGTCTTCATAAAAGGTTGGACACCCCTGGCATAAATTATACCCTGTCTGTCTATAATATACACGTACATTATGATTTCAAGAATATAATATTTTGTTATTAATATTAACAAGATATTTGTTACTATTTACATAGAGTATTGTTTTTTTTTTTTTTATAGTAAGTCAATATACTCCATTGTAATTTGTTGTACTTTTCATACAACGTTATGGGATATTAAAAAATATATTTCAATAATTTAATTTACTTTACAATATATAATACAAATATTTTCAATATTTCTTTAAAAATATTTATTATTTATCATAAATATGTATTAAATTCAAGTCAGCACAGGTTAACTTAATCTAATTGACCTTAAACTTTTTGTAGTTAATTTTTATACATATATACCTACACTTATTTTGGGGGTGAGATCAAAAATATTTTGATTCGTATCTTGTAAACGTAGTAAATGTCATATTGTAATTACTACCTATAGACTTGATATAGTATGTCTGTCTGTCGTTGTCTAGTGGTGGTATGTACCTCTTGTCAACCTAGAGGTTATGAGTTCAAACGCTGAGTTCCTTATTATAGATTTATTTGTTTTTCATAATTTTGACATGCAGAGAAAAAAAAAATTTTAATTTTTAAATCGCAACTTAAGAACAATTTTTTATAAATAAGTAATGCATGTACATACATGAATACATTTAATGTATAATGCAACATTCATAGTTCACATTTCAGTCACTTCAGTTAGCCCAAAGACACTTTTAAAAAACTAATAATTACGAGGGTTGTCCCAAAAGTAATGCACAATTTGCTCTGAATAAATAAGTTTTTATTTTAAACTAAATACAATATCATAGACCTTCGATATAATCTCCCTGCTTGTCTATACACGATTGCCATCGTTTCGGGAGCGCTTGAATGCCGCATAGGACGCCATCTTTGTTGAGTTCATGGATCTTTCGGCTCACTTCTTCATTTAGTATATCTAAGTTGGGAAAACAGATCCCTCTAAGTGGTTCCTTCAGTTTTGGAAATAAATCAAAGTCCGGGGGACTTAAATCCGGCGAATACGGTGGGTGTTTGAGGCATTCCCATCCATATTTCTCCAAAAGAGCGACGACTGGTGCTCCGATATGCGGCCGCGCATTATCGTGCAATATGGACACACCATTTTGTAACATTCCTGGTCGCTTTTTACGGATTTCTGGTCGCAATTTTTTAGCAAGGAATGTTTTGTAGTAATCCCCAGTTACACTACTGCCAATTGGAATTCGATCAGTGACAATTATCCCAAGTTTATCGTAAGCAAAAATCATCATTTGTTTCACCTTTGTTTGCTGGCGACGAACTTTTTTTGCTCTTGGTGATGTTATTCCCTTCCAAATATTGCTTTGAGATTCAAAATCACGGATCCAAGTCTCATCTATTGCAATTATACGATCAAGAAACGTTTCTTTTTCATTTTCGTAGCGAGAAAGGAGTTCACGGCAGATGTCTTTGCGTGTATCCTTCTGTTCCGGTGACAGAAAATGAGGCACCCAACGTGCTGCAATCTTTCGTTTCTGTAGAATTTCCGTTAAAATGCGGTGAACACTTGATTTTGAAATACCTGTTTCATTCTCTATCTCTCTTACCGTTATTCGTCGGTCTTCATCAAGTAGAGTTGCGAGAATAGCCGCGTTAGTGTTGTCTTGAGTAACCGTAGAGGGTCGGCCAGAGCGAGGGTTGTTATCAATACTTATACGACCATCACGGAATCGCTGACGCCATCTTTGCACCGTACTACGATCCACAGTATCCGTTCCACACACTTCATTTAATGCGGCATGAATTTCAGGCACTGTTTTACCACGAATCGTTTCGATTTTAATGTATGCGCGTTGCTCAAAAACAGAAATGTGAGCCGACGAATTGTTCTCACTTTCGTTATCGCTCTCACACATCATCATACTAAAACTGAAAACGCACGTGTTAAACTTCAAGCTACAAACTGATACTAAAATCAGCTGATAATATCACATTGCAAGACAGCTAGAGCGCGCTGTGCATTACTTTTGAGACAACCCTCGTATTAAAAATTATCTCTGCAATAGGATAAGCCAAGAAAAGTTATTTGGATTGTAAATGGCTTTTCTGCAGGTAAATCTGTGAACTTACCAATTATGTGTCTATAACTTTCACAAATTTGTTAATATAATAATTATGGTGATAAGAATTGTAATTTCTTTTAAAAACTATTCTATTTCCAGTTTCAGTATCATAACTATTGTATAATTTGGTTATTTCTTTCCAAGACTTGTTTTTTTTTTCCATTAACAAAATCAGTGTAAAATGTATACTAATATTGCTAGCATATTGTAATTTATAATTAAGTTAACCTGTCAAACAAATACCTACCTAAATATTTTCAAAATGTACTTATATGGAAATTAATGTCGTTTTTTCTCGTTCAGTACAGTTTGTCTGCCATCATCGAAGACCAAATAAATATTATAATATAAATTGTGGACTGTGATTTGAATATATTTTTCAAATATTTATTTATTATTAATGTTATTTTCAGGGCTTGATTACGTTTGTTTTTATTTATTTTACAGTGTTTTGTTTTGTAACGTTATATTTTGTTTGTGATAAAACATTTATTGTTTTAAAACGTTTCTTTTTTATTAATGATACAATTTTTTTAATTTTGAACTTTTTTTTATGATGAGACATTTTAAAAATATTCTGTTGATTTAGAACTATTTTATATTACATTTGAGTAAGCTAAACAGTGGCTACATTTCCTTCATCATTTTTCTTAATCATTCGTGATTTTTATTCAGAACTCTTATAGCGTTTTCCACCTGACTGCATCGTTGCTTCTAAAGCGGGTAGGTTATATTGCCCTAAAAATTGTCTAGTGCAGTCGAATCATGAATCATGTGGAACATAATTTGTATAGTTATTAAGTACAAATATTAAAATATTAATTTTGTACAGGAAAAAAAAAATGTTTGCTAGTTTACCTATGTGTTAGCAGTTAAAATTATATTATATATTATATTATTAATCAAGCATCGAGATTAACATCTTTGTCAATAAAAGATTATCACTGCACACGGGGCAAGGAACCAGTAGAGCGTGTGTACGTGAAAAATAAAAACCTGCACTAAATGTTCCCCAATATTCCATTTGGAACATAAAATACGTTTTTGTAAATACACTGGTGCAGTCGGTGCAATCTGGTGAAAACTCTATTAATTTTACGTCTTTATTTTTAAGGTTAACTGTTTAGAAATTCCGAATTAGTTTTGTTACCAGACAGTAAAAGAAAAACGGTGTATATCACTATTAAACGGTACTTATTAGTATCTGCCTACTTGGAATAAATAATACAGTAACCAACTTACCTTATAGACAAGTAATACATTTTCAACAGTTGTTATAACTAACTGCAGTAGCCAGTCTACCGGCTACCAATACAAAACTTTTATGAAATTGGTTGGTTTTACGGTTTTCGTTATAAAACGTTTTTTGAATTTGTTTGTTAAAATGTTATAATAACGTTTTCATGCCCTGGTTATTACCATAGTTAATATATATACATTATCTATGGTTATTAATCACGGTTCAGATATCTCAGACTATGAGTTTATGGCCTATAATTTATCCACAGATATATATATAAATAGGTTAAGTTAGGCTGGTCTATCTCATAGATATCTATACTGTACTATTTAGTCATCTGTGGTCTATCTTAAACCGTGTTATTAATTGACGATTGATATCAGTAATCAGTAATCATTGTAATCAAATAAAATGTGGAATCATTTATTTGATAACCACAGTTATCAATAGATTACAAATCTTTTATGCAATACAATTTTTTTTTACAAGCCGTTAAAACGTTATAGGCTTGGTTAATTACGAGCTCGTTAATAAAGTTACACACTGATCTTTATGTAATCCATAATAGTTACCATTAAAGTGTAGGGTACATTTATTGGTTAATTTTGATAACACAACAGCAGGTGTACAGTACCAATAACGGTCTTAGATTGTACCAATACAATAAATAATTTACTTAAAAGTTAAATTTAAAAAATTAGTACTATTTAAAGAAAAATAACATCTTTAACCACTGATATTGATAATAGATTATATGATAATGCAATTGGCGAATTAATGGCGGTCATTTTGCAGCCATTCAGATTTGTTCTCAAAAGATACTTGTGTACATTTCGCACTAAAATAAATCAATGTGTTTGAATTTCGCGCCTTTTCTAGAATACATCGTTGACTGGATGCCGGTTGTGCTACGCGTGTCATCGGTGAGCTAGTTCGTGCCAATCGTTACCAACGGCAGTTAGAGAGAGAGAATAATATAAGGGTGAACAGAGACAAAAATGTGTGTGTGCTTATCGACTTTTTGAGTTTTATCGTACAATTTTCAACACGGTCGATTTGCAAGCATCATCTGCTGTTAATATTCGTTTGCGTTTGTACTTCAGTTTTTCCTTTTTGTAATTGTAATTAATAGTATAACCTACGAACTCTACAAACGTACTGATATTTTGTTGTGATTATTTCAAAGACAAATTGTAATATTTGCATTATTTGATTTGGAAACATTTTTTTTTTTTTTTTAAATATTATATTTATACTATAAGTAACAGGACTCAGAACGTTTGACATTAGCATGATAATGGCCTGGCAGCCACAAGACGAAGGGTTACGGCAAATCATTCAGCTGCTCAAAGAATCCCAATCGCCTGATACGGTTATTCAACGGACAGTACAACAAGTATCCTTTTTATGAGACTTGATTGCTAAAATATTCAAGTTTGTATGTTAGGTTCGGTGAATATTTATGATTTATTAAGAATTTTAAATAATAATTTTTCAGGTAATTGTACAATAATATCTTAAAATTACCTATATTATTTCTTAATCAATCAGTGTTCTCAGTTAATTACATAAGTTCAATAGTTCATCAATTCTTCATTTATCTATTGTTAAAATATCAATTACTAGTTAAAAACATCATGAATCCAGACTTATATTAACCATTTTCTTTTAGTTTTAATTTTACAGAAACAATTATAACTTATTTTGTAAATACCTAAGAGTAAACAATTGTTGTACCTAAGCTTTATATTAATAATTTAGATTCATTTTTATATTAATTTTGGTATACCTAATGTTCATTTTGATTAATACTATTTAGTAATTGCATATAAGAATTTCTTAAAAATTCATTTTTTTTTTCAATATCTATTTCAGTTATTGAGTCAGATAAATGCACTTTTAATTTTGTTATTTGACATATCTCATCACATCACAATTCATATCTCTCACTTAAAAAATTAAATATGGAAAAAATCAGCATAATTATATAATGTTGTTAGATTGATGAATTCACTATAATATTAAAATTAACAGTACTTACAAAGTCGTCCCCAAATATCATTTGATTTGACATTAGGAAACCGAAGATAGGATATGTGGATATCATGTCTTTTAAAATTAAATCTTACCTGAAAATAAACATTTATTATTAGGTACATAATATTAACTTAATCAACTTAGTATAATATATTGAATAATCATCCTATTTTAAAATAAATGTGCATTGAATTATAATTATTATTCAAACTACTTATTTTATTCAAGTAAAGTTCTTTAATTAACTAATTCAGAAATTGGAAGAACTAAATCAAGTACCAGACTTCAACAATTATTTGATATTTATATTAACAAAACTTATATCTGAAGGTGTGTATTTATTTTCTTTTACTTTAGTTTTTGAAGTATCTCAATTTATTTAAATAGTTGAATATGAATACAAGGTTTGTTCAGAAAGTACCAGGATTTTATTTTTAATGAATACAAAAATTAATTACACATTATTTAAAAGAAATGTCCTTCAAAATATTCTCCTTTGGACAATATGCAGTTGCTCTAGCTGTCTTACTATTTTTTAAAAGTCATTTTATTTATAACTGTTTCATATTTAAGGCTTTGAGTTATGTTCTATATTTTAAGCCCAGAGATCAACCCTGGAAAAGAAAACAAATCATATGGGACCAGATCAGGATATTAGGGATTGTCAGGAACACGAGTATTTATTTGTTAACAGTTAAAATATCACAAATGGACACCAGTGATTGAGCTATTTTTACAAATCTTCTCTCATAAACTTATTAATATGTCTATAGAATACCTGATTATTCTGTATTATTATTCAAAGTTCATGATGAACAATACTTTTAGTATGTATAAAAAAACCCATTTGACTTTAATTTTCGAGCTTTTTTTGGCCGAGGGGAACATTTCCGTTTCACTGAGATGACTGTTACTTTGTTTTTGGGTTGTATCCATAAACCCATGTCTCGTCATCTGTGATAATGTTACGGCCATTACTCAGAAACTATCGATCGGATATGAATGTATAGATTGTTAATATTTTTAAATTTTTTTTTCAGTAATTTGGAGATGGAGAAAAATAGATTATTTTTCTCTACGTATGTGTCTCATTGACCCAATACCTAACTGAAAAAAAAAAATTAAAACAAATAATGACATGCCTACATGATGTTCATATACAACTGGATACATACATTCTGTATATTTATGTATTAATATTATTCTTTATTTATTTTTAGATGAACCTACTAGATCATTAAGTGGTTTAATTTTAAAAAATAACATAAAAAGTCATTATGAAAATTTACCACAAACAGTCACAGAATTTGTTAAAGCTGAATGTCTTACTGCTGTTGGAGACACTTCTCCTTTAATTAGAGCTACTGTTGGAATTCTAATAACAACTATAGCTTCACGTGGTATTAACACATGGCCTGAGCTTTTACCTGCCCTTTGTCAAATGCTTGATTCTGCTGATTATAATGTTTGTGAAGTGAGTTTATATAAAATATACTACAAATTAAATTTTAGATAATAAACA